GGGAATGCATATCTAGAGCTTGCTATTAGGGTTCTTGTATGCCATTGCTTGGCTATTCCTTTGATTCAAGTCCTATTGTTGTATTTTGTGAGATTTTGGGTGTTTTGGGCTTGAATTTGGACTTGGTGTTGAAAATTCCTGAAGGGATTATTTGTGGTACAGAGGTGTACCCGCGGGCGGAACGGCGGGTAATGCACCACCCGCCGCCCTACCCGCGGGGTACAACTGAGTTGGACAGTGGTACCCGCGGGCGGAACCACGAGTGGATTTCCACCCGTGGCCCCACCCGCGGGGTACAATGATGTTGGTTGTTGGGGATTTGTTCCCCGTGATTATTTTGTTGAGCTATTTGAGTGTCTTCTTGATGTTTCGTATGTCTAGAATGGTATGTTAGGAATCCATGTAGGATTTGGTGTCTTGAATCGTGCTAAGTGTTCAACCTTGTGATTCGTTGAACCATGATGAGTCTTGTATGTTCTTCGGAACTATGTTTGGTTTACCCGTTTGATAAGCATGCTAGTTTGATGTTGAAATGCTACTGTGTGTGGTTTGTTTTTTCCTATTGTGGTTGATAACTTGTGTTGATCATCGTTGGTGTCGGATTGTAATCCTTCTTTGATTGAGTATGGTTTCATATCTTCGTTATCATCCGTTGATTGATTCCTGTGATGAAAGTGCGTGTATTGGCTGTACCTGGATTGCACGATTAATGGTATTGGACATTAATCACCAAGGTACAGATGTGGTCCTTGTGGTGACCATGATATGATTATGGAGTTGTGATCTGGGCTTCATGCTCATGTGATTGGTGGTTGTGTGATTGATTTGAACGGTACCCTCGCGTACTATGAATAGGTGGATATGTTGGAGATTATTGGAGTGGGGACAACGGTCCTCGGAGGCGTAAGGTTGGACTTTGGAGTACAGGGGTCCTGGAGGTAATGGTTGGAACTAGTTATAAGGTTGGGGGTAGCCATAAGGTCGGAACCGGGCATAAGGACGGAATTTAGAACATGTGACATGTAGTGTCACGGTGGCATGTGTTGCCAATGTGTGATTGTTTATCCTCTTCTGTTGAGCATGTCGAGGGGTATTCTACTTTGTGATCAGTAGAATACACCTTGAGTTGTACTTGTTATTGTTGTCGTCTTTGCCTTTATGTTTCTGCTTTGTGATCAGTAGATTACATCTTGAGCGGTGTTGAGTTGTTCTGTTGTTGTCCTTGTCTTGGTGTTGTCTTGGGATGTTGATTCCCTTGTTATTTTGAGTGTGAAATAGAGTCTTTGCAGTTGACTTCTCTCTTTACGGTCTTGAACTGATATTTATTGTATTCCATTTCGAAAATGATTTTGTATTAAACTATCTATATATGCTACTTAACGCGTATTGATGGGTTACCAGCAATATTCGCTGACCGGGCGTCGTCCCCTTTCTTTATGTTACTTTACAGGTCCTGAGTAGCTTATGGCGAGTGCGCTAGTTGTTGGTTGTAGTGTAGCTCCCGTGGACTGTGTAGATAGTGTTTTGGGCCTGTGTGCCAAGGGTTGTATGAACATGGATAGTACGTTGTAGACTAGCCTGTGCATCCACTTGAGGTGGATGTGGCAAAGCACTTCCCGGTTTTCCCCGTCTTTAATTTAAGACATCCGCTGTGGTTTACGTTTTATGATACCTGTTAGTTACCTTACCTTACGTATTTATGTTTTTAAAATGTCATGAAAATCGGGGGTGTTACAGTTGGTAACAGAGCCTAGGTTTGAGCCTAGGATGTTCAAAATTGGACTTTAAGCACCTTTTAGGAATAAAGAGAGTAAACCTTTTACTAGTCAGATTCTAATTAGAAATCCTAAACCTATATACTTGTTAGGAATAGAAAGTAGGCCTTTACTATTCAAATTCTGATTAGGATTCCGAACTCTATAAATAGGGGATTAGAAAGCAATTAGAACTCTTACCACCCATAGTTATATTACACGAAATTATTCCCAAGAGATTCCCCACCACCAAGCCTAGGGAGAACAATCGGATGAAAATCTTAGGGAAGAACCTTAATAGCCAAGGGAGGATTAATTAAGGCTAAGAGGTAACCCATGTCTCAATAAAACCTATTTTCCTTGCTATATCTTATTCATTGGCTATTTTGATATATGATTTTGTGCTTGAGTCTAGATAGAGCTTTGCCTAGGGTTTATATTGTGATTATGTGATAATCTTGATGTTTATTTGTTAATCTTGATGCTTATGTGATAATCTTGACGTTTTTGATACTATGATAAATTGTATGAATGATCTTGTATTTTGATTATGTCTAGAACCCTATTGTTATAACGTGGATTTCTTATTACAATGTTCTTGATATATTTGGGGTGGGATTGAGCATGATTGGGTATTGAGTCTAGCCTAGGACTTGTGTTTAGGACTTCGCATATAGATTTTTTGATGTTCTTGTGATTCCGGATATCCCTGGATCATTATATGGTTTATGCATGTTTAGGAATCGTGTTAGGATGTTTTTGGTGTGATTCTTGGTTTAATTCCGTTAATTGAATACGTAGTGTTGTCGTTATTTCTTTGATTGTGTTTGGACATGGTTTCGGGTTCCACGAGGGATCCCGGGACCATAAAGTTTCCTGTGTATCAGTGGGGTGTAAGTGGGGGGACTGACCACCGGCCACCTACCCGCTACCCGCAATACTGTTCCAGCCAGCACCCGACGGGCGGTGGTCTACCCGCCGGACACCCGGTGGAATAGTAACCGGCTGCCGACGGGTGGCTGGCGGGTGGTCTTCCACCCGCTACTAACCCGCTGAAATCCCGGTGTGGTTCGTGATGTTTTCCCCCGTGTCCCGTTGTGCCCCGTTGTACCCTGTTTGTCGTATATGAGTCTTGCTTGGTGTTTTAGGCATCGTTCTAGGATTTATGTGTATTACGTGTCATTGTTGTTGTGTCTTGCTTGTTATGTGACTATGTGTTGATTGATTGATAATGATGAGTATCGTGGTCATTGCGCAATGACTAGTGTGACTGATGATGATGATGATGAGATTGTGATTCGTGGAAAATAAACTGTTGGCGGTTGGCATAACTTGTGGCCGGTCATTGTACTGAAGGTACAGGCCATAGCGGTGACTTGGAAAATAAACTGATTCGACTTGCTTGCTTTAGGCATGGGTCAGGTTATAAGTGTTGCGGTGTCATGTTAGAGCTATATGCGCTAACCTCTTGATATTGGCACTAGAGGTGCGGATCATTGAATGGCACTGCAGCACCATCTTGATATGTTGGTTGTTGAAACGTGGGTACGTCGGTGGGGGCATGTAGTTGCCCAGAGGCATATGGGGTGGGGATATGAGGGTGGCCTGGAGGTATAGGTTGGAACTGATATAAAGACGGAGGGGAGCTACAAGGTTGGAACTTGGTATAAGGTTGGAGGATGAATTGTGTGCTTTATTGACTACTTGCTAATTGATTGTATTGAATGCCTTAGTTGTCTCTACCTGTCATTTACATGCTTATCTGCATGTTATGTCTTGCATCGCATGTTTAGGGTGTCTATTAGTTCTTATGATTATTTTATAATACTAAGTCTGTTAATATGCCTTGAGTCTTGATCTTGGATTTAAACTAGAGTCTCGTAAGTATACATGTATTTCAATTCCAAAATGAGTTTCTTATATCTACCTATATTGTACTTAACGCGTTGGAGTGGGTTACCAGCATTATTCGCTGACGGTTGTTACACCGAATATTTTTTAGGGACAGTGAGTAGCTTCGGAGCGCGCTAGTGGATTCATGGACTTAGTTTAGATAGTTCTAGCCTGGATGAGATGGCCTGCGTGCCTTGATATGTATTTGGGTATTAGTTATGGTTTACGCTTTGTTAATTAGTTTAGCCTGTGCATCTGAGTTCTCCAGCTCAGATGTGGCATAGCACCCCGACTACTATGTCTAGTTTATGCTTTGTTTGGGAATTAACAAGAGATTAGCCTTTATTTTATATGTTTTGAATATCTTGAAATTTAGGGGTGTTACAATTTGGGTCAGTCCGAAGCAAAGTGGACGATTCCGTGTTCTACTGGCATCGATAAGGTAAGAGCATTTATCTTGTTGTTTATATCGATGATATTGTTATCACAGGAGATGATGCAGAAGGAATACTCTGGTTAAAGCAACATCTTTTCCAACACTTTGAGACAAAAGACCTTTGAAAATTAAAATACTTCTTAGGGATAGAAGTTGCCCAGTCAAAGCAAAGGATTTATATATCTCAACGAAAATATGCTTTGGATATATTAGAGGAGATGTGTATGCTTGATTGCAGACCAATTGATACTCCCATGGATCCTAACTTTAAGCTTGTACTAGAATAAGGAACCCCTTTTCAGATCCAAGAAGATATCGAAGTTTGGTTGGAAAATTGTTGTATTTAACAGTCACTCCCCCGACATTTCCTTTGCAGTTAGCGTTGTGAGTCAATTTTTGGCTTCTCCGTGTGATAGCCATTGGGTGGCTGTCACTAGGATTCTTTGATACATCAAGAAGTCTCCCAGGAACGATGTTTTATACAAGGATCATGGGAATACAGTGATTATTGGCTAAACTGATGATGATTGGGTTGGGTACTCTTGGGATAGAAAATCAACATCAGGATACTATGTTTTCCTTGGTGGAAACCTAATATCTTGGAAAATTAAGAAGCAAAATGTGGTGGCTCGATCAAGCGTAGAGGCAGAATATTGGTCAATAGCCTTGGGAACATGTGAACTAATCTCGTTAAAGCATATCCTGATTGAATTAAAATTTTGCATGAAAGGGAACTTATGTGTGAAAATCAAGCAGCCTTGCATATTGCGTCCAATCCTGTCTTTCATGAGAGAACAAAACACATCGAGGTCGATTGTCATTTTATTCACTAAAAGATTACATCCGGGGAGATTGTTACCTCATTCGTGGGTACAAATGATTAGTTGGCTGACATCTTCACCAAAGCTTTAAGAGGTCCCATAGTTGAATATTTGTGTAACAAGCTTGGAGCTTTTGATATTCACGCTCCAGCTTGAGGGGGGATGTTGAGATTCATTGTCTGCTTTTATTGTGCCTCTATTATTTCTTGTCTCTGTTTATGTTCTTGTGTCTATTAGTATCTCTAGGCTCTTTTACTCTTTCTTCTACTGCCTATATATTGTAGTCAGTGTACTTGTTTGTTTAAGGAAGTGTAAATAACAATATAGCGTTTTCTCCTTCAACTTCTCCAACAAAGACTTTAACAATATATTCACATATAATCATATTTTTACAATTTCACATATATATAATGGAGCATGGATGAGGATACTTACCCTTGTACCTATTCTGAAACTACTGGACTATGGTCTCACTATCTCAGGCTCTCTGCAGTCTCAAGTAGAGTCTCAACTCATTGACCAAAACTCTAGAAGTGAATTGAGTAACGGTGTTATAAATTAGAACTTCAAAAAATTAAATAAAAACAAAGAAGAAGAAGGGAAACACTATCAGCACACTTGATTGTAGTATATTTTCAAACAAATAATATCCAGAGTATCGGGTAATCGATCCATAGGGAAGTGGGGTATTAAGAACGAGCTACAAATTTATTCTTATGAAGATAATCCTAATGATTATCTTGGATGGTTGCAATAAATAAATAAAGCAAAGCAATAAAATCAGGATTTTGTAAACAATAGAGGGAGAAAGATATTCCTGGGATTCAAGTGTTTAATCCCCTAGTGCCTAACCTAATGCAATATTAAATATGGGTTTAAACTAGTGTAAAAATGCAAACATGGTATAGAGTTACTCTCATAATCTCTTCCCCTAGTGAATATCCACTCCCGTGATATAAACACACAATAATAATAGAACAAGAATTCATAATAAATTCCTAACTACTACCATCTCCCGATGCGCAATAATCAAGAATTATAATCTCTAACATACATGTAACATCTCCGATTTTACCAAAATTTAAAAGCTTAAATAAGAGATAAACGGTCTAAACATTAATTATTAAGCAAGCGGAAGCTAATCTCTTAAACAAGAAAGTGCTATGCAACACCCATAAATCTACAAGTGCACAGGCTAAGTTTACAGAAACATTCGTAATAACTTCAAAGTCTAGGGCACACAGGCCAACAGTCTAATAAATAAGGAAGGCATAAGAACTACGCTATCTAAATCCACTAGCGCGCTCTCCAAGCTAATCATAACCTAAAAAACATAGAGATAACACCCGTCAGCGAGAGATGCTGGTAACCCACCAATACGCGTTAAGTAACATAATATATATATAGGCAAAACCATTTGAGACAAAGGAATACAGTATATATCATTTCAAAGCCAAGAGAGGGAACATCAAAGGACACAACATCACGCTCTAAACAAAAGACCGATCAACAACAACAATACACAAGACAACAAGGACAACAAGCAACATTCTCAACAATAGACACAACCTACCATCTTAATGGTAGAGTTCTCAATAGACATGCTCATAAGCAATAAACACAACAAATCACATAATGACAAGTTTCACGTTCCAACCTTTTACCTTAGTACCACCCTTATGGCTACCCCCGGCCTTATCTCAGTTCCAACCTATACCTCCGAGTGCCACCATGTACTTCTGAGTCCAACCTTCCCTCCTGGGACCGTCGTCCCCCGCCAAACTGCCGGCAAACAATACCGCCGAACTCTCAGTACACGAGGATACCATTAAATATCATAGTCACATACCGCCAAACTCATGAGCAAAGCTCAAGTCACATCACCACTAATTTCATTCATAATCACACATAGTCATCATCAAGAGGATTAAGACACATCAATAGCCCAATCAAGCATCAACAACGGGTACAACAAATGTACAAGATCACATCATAGAAATCAATCAAGAGGTTTCAATGATAGACATGAAACAATACTCAACAACAACAATGGACTTTAATCCAATATCAACATGATTGGCAACACAAGTTTTCAATCCTCAAAGGAATGGACAAACAACACATATTAGCATCAACGACATCATAACTATCATGCTTAGCAAACGGGTAAACCAAAACGATTCCAACGAACCTCAAAGACTCACATAAATCCAACGAATCACAAAGTTGGACTATAAGCACGATTCAAGACACCAAATTCTAACATGGATACTTAGGACATCGTTCTAGACATACGAAACATCAAGAAGACACTCAAAAGCTCAACAATCTAACAAAAGGAGGTCAAAACATCACATACCAAGAGATGGAACCACGAGAAAACAACACCCGACAAGCCACCTTCAATGTACCCCGCGGGTGGAACCGCCGGTGGTCACCTGCCCGCGGTTCCCCCCACCGGGTACACACCTGCCACCCGCTGGAGGGGCGGCGGGTGGACATCCGCCCGCGGGGAACACCCGAACAACAAAATAATTCCATTCGGGGAAATTCATCTCCAAGGTCAAGTTCAAGACCAAAACACCCCAAATCTCACATACAACAAGGAAATGACTTGAACCCAAGAATAGATCAAAGAATAGCATTCAAGAAAACTATATACAAGCTCTAAACATGCATTATCAAAAGATCATGCATCAAATCTCACATTTACACCAAAAATCATCAATAGAAGTCCAGAAACATCAATAGCAAGTAGAAAATAGGTTTTGTATAGCATGGGTTACCTTTGAAGACCAAAACCTTCTTTCTTCTAACCCCCTAGGCCCTACTTGGAAGCTCTTCTTCCTCACAACCTTCTTATACAAGCCAAACCACAAGAAAACACCAAACTTAGATAAAGACAGCTTAAAGCTGACCAAAAACACTAAATAACTTTAGACCTTACCCTTTCCTAAGCTTGGAAGGTAGAAAGGTGGGATCTTGGGATGAATCTTTGCAAGATTGGATGAGGTCTTTCTTGGCTTGGGGAAGAAGCCAAGATTCTTAGATAGAAGAGAGAGAAAAGTTATCTTGCTATAGTGAGGGAATGAATTTTAGGTTTGGGTAGGGTAAGGCTTCAAGACCAAGTAAGGGGAAAAGACCATCATACCCTTACTTTCCCTAGAAAGGCTTAGGAAGACCCCAAAGAAATCGGTACAACCATCAAAGCTAAAGGTACTCCTTTTTTACTTAAATCAATTGACCAAGGAGTTGGTCAATCTTGGTCCTTCGTCTATCAATTTAGAAAATTGATTAGAAAGTCAACAGGGATAAATTACGATTAATTACTCAATTAATCCTATTTAAAGGATAGGATTTTCGGGGTGTCACATCCTCTCCCCCTAACAATAAGCTTCGTCCCCGAAGCTTGGGTACAACAAGGTTTGTAAAAAAGGATAACGGTGATCAAAATGTGACATGAATAGAAGGAAAAGATAAACAAGGCTTTTAGGCAACAAGCTCTAACCAAGGAACTCTTACAAAATCTAAAACACACTCACATACTTAAGGTCTAAACCAACAACCAAACTTAGCACATCTACAAACAATCTAACCTACACCCACAGCTATCAACAACTATCGCTAGGGATGACACATAAGGAAACAAAAGCTAGAAAAGATTACCTCACTCCTCGGCTTGGTACGAGTCGTCCCCCGAGTCCTATTCAGCTCCATCCTCAGATCCAAGGTCTTCCTCGTCTCTATCCCGGCTAGAACTAGCCTCCAACACTGTCAGCATCTGGTTCACGGTCACAAATTGCACCTTCATAAATGCGAAACCTTCCTCAATCATCTGATTTTGCTGTCAAAGAAGGGCTCCCACACGTTCCTCGTGTGTCATGGAGTCGTTTGCTCTCTTTGTCCTTGCTTCTTTCCTTCGGCGGTTCTCCTCGTCCTCGGAGTCGCTCTCCTCTACCTCCTCCTCTTCTTCTTCACATCTTCCGAGCTCCTGTACAGTCTGCTTTAGCTTCTTGACAGGAACCCCCAGCTGTTCTGTCAGAAGCTTCCTCTCGGATGGGGATTTCTTGGCTACCTCTTCTAGGGTGATGTATTCATCGTCATCCAGCAGAAATAGATTACAACTTCGTAGATTTGCAGCATCCAACACCATTTTACCCACAGCTTTGGCAAAAGTCCCTTCAACTTTCACCCCTTTATTCTTGAAGATCCAACTCAGAATCATACCATAAGGTAGGCTCTTTCGGTTATGGTCCACACAATAATCCATGTGTTGAAGCATGAGAGCTGGCAGGTTGAACTTCACCTTATGTTTCAAGAAATAGGCAAAACCACACTCCAAATGTCCCAAAAGATTACTCTTGTTATTGTTAGGTAACAGATAGTCTGTAACAAGCATTATCAGAATCTTTTGCTCTCCGATGAGTGTAACACCCCGTGTTACGGCCCCTAAAACCAATTAATCATTAACCAATTATCAAAAAGAAAGAATTAAATTATAATAATTAATTAAGAAAAGGCCCACCATAGTCCGTGAGCCCTCACCTTTAAAATCCAGCCCTAGCCCTAAAAGGAATAAAGTTAGCAACCTATAGTACCTAGACCCAAATTAGGACTCTTGGGCATATAAATAGGGAACACGAAAGGCACCTAGAACCCCCACCACAATAATCCCTCACCACCCAAGGAGCTCCAAGAATTCCCTTAAGAGAAATCAAGAAAGAAGAAAGCTTAAAGAAAGACCCTTCATAGCCAAGGAATTAATTAAGGCTAAGAGGTAACCCATGTCTCAACAAAACCTATTTTCCTAGCTATGATTCCCCTCTTAGGATTTCCCCCATATTCTTGTGTGTTGATGATTCGTTATATTGGTGATATGATTCCGTGGGTGATCTTGATATTCTTGATGATTATATGGTGTTCTTGATGTTCCTGATGATTATGTTGTGTTCTTGATATTCTTGATGATTATATGATGCTCTTGATGTTTATGTCATATTCCAACCGAATCTTGATATTAGAAGATGAATTGTGTTCTTGTTGAAATAAAAGTAATTAGAACCCTAGGTTGTATCGGGAAACTCGTACGGTATTATTCTTGGTATATTGGGTGGAAATTCGTATGTTTGGGTGTTGATTATGTTTAGAAAAGCATGATAGGTTATGTGCCATATGTT